GGGGGTTTTTTTTTTTTTTTTTTTTTTTGTGTGTATATATATGTTTGTGAATTGTTGGTTTACTCGTATAACTTTTGTTTCTTGGGTTAAAAAATTGACCATATTTTTGGTTTCAGAATTTCGAGGATTTCGTTGCTGGCCACTTCTGCACCCGAGCTCAGGAAATTATTTTGGCATGCAAAGCGTACATAGCTGGTGCTAAAGTTGGCTGTTTTGTGAAAGGAGGGGTGCAGAATCTTGATCAAGGTAACAAGAGCTGTTCAATCATGTTCAAGAGATCCTTAGCTGCATATGTGAATTTGCTTGTTAATGAGTTTACAAAAGCTGGAGCCAAGGACTGTGCCAAGATCACTCTATCACAAGCAGCGGAAAATCCGTTGCGTGATATTCAAATGAATGAGGCTGCTCCTACTGCTGCTCCTCCTGCAACGGTTTCATCAGCTAATGAGGCTACTGCTGCTACAATTGTAGCTGATGCGTCTGTTGCTGCTACGGTTTTAGCTGATAATGCTGCTGCAGCGCCAGCTGAGTGGAGTGCTGCTTTTTCTGCTAAGTGGGATGCTACTATTTTAGCAGCTGCGGGGGGTGCTGCAATTTCTGGCGAGGATGATGATTCATCTTCAAGTTCGTCTGATGGTGCTGCAAGTTCAAGTGATGACTATGATCGAGTTTCTGAATATGCCGCCTATTGAGACTTGATCAAGACTTCTTAGTTTAATATAGTTTTTATTAAGCTGATAGCAAGTTTAATTTATGTTTTTATGTTTTATGTTGAACTCTTTACAAACTATATTATATCCATGAATAATCTGTGTTCATAATGTGGATATTTGATATAGTTGTTGCAGACGAGTGTTTAATGCATTGCTGGAATTGCATAAGGTTTCTTTTCAATTTATTCTCTGGCTTATGAGTTTCCTTGCTTATTTATTGCGCTTATATTGGGGTACCCGCATATGGAATGGACTTGTTGTTTATTATTGTTCTAATAGTCATTTGGTGCAATGCATAATAGACTAGTAGTTTTTGTTTGAAGATTTTAATTATTAACACTTTATTGTTGAATCGGGTGCAATGGCTATCACAATCTTTACCATAAAGAAATGTTCAGAAGGTGCACCAAAGCATCTGCCCTTGCTTTGAAATTTTCATGGGTGATATAATATCATTTTTCTAAAATAGATGTTGATTTATAGCTGGTTGGTAACTGTTTTGAAAAGTTTACTTATATAAAATTATCTTTTACCTTTAAAAACAGCTTTTAAAACTTATTTTACAAAATAACATTGAAAAAAATTTAGTTTTTTAATTAATTTTTTTTTATATATTTTGAAGGAAATTAGCTTTAATTTAATTCTTCAATGATCGAAATGGGTAATTATTCAAACTTTCAAGTCTATGGTTTCTAACAGCGGGTGTAATTTATTATTTTGTTCAAATAAAAAGCAGTATACTTTGTTCAATAGTTTAAGTAAATTTGTTGAATTTTTCATAATTATTATAAAAGTCATATTAATGATTATTTCAAATTGGTTGTTTGTATAAGATTCTTTACATTAACAATACTAGCTAGAAATTAAACTTGTTTTTAAATAAGTTGTGGAACTCAACTCGTTAAAAAGAAAAAGTTATGGAACTCAAACTTTTGATTTTAAGATTAATAAATGCAACTTTTAATATAATTATTGTATTTTATATGAAATTACTTTATTTTAATTTTTAAATTAATAAATTATGTAAATTTTATGAAAATTTATTTATGTTATTGGCCTAAGAAGCTTCCTTAAAGGCCAAGATTGAACAATTTTAATTAAATATGTTTATTTAAAGTTATGAGCATGTTTTGTTATACAGAAATAGGGCTAAACTGTGTACTAAAGATAAAAGAAGAATGAAGCACTTTTTTTTATGTTTTTATTTTTTACATGATGCTTGTTTTTGAGAAATTAGACCACTTTTTTATTTTATATTTTTTTTTATCTTTTATTTATTTATTTACTATTTCTGCCTTTCTTGGTTCGGCCATAAATCATGATTGGTGATTATTTCCTTCGCTTGGTTCTTCTTTTTTCTCACTCTCTTTCCACAAACTTAAGTTTTTGTCGCTCACAAACTATACAACTTTGTTTTATGATTTTTTTTTTTTTTATGGTTATATATGTGTATGAAAGGTCTTGTGAAATGAGGAAGTGAAAGGAAACTAAAGAAATCAAAGATTTGAATTAATTTTAAAAGGAAAAAAAAAAGAGAGTAAGGTGGCATATTCAGAACAATCCGTCTGTACACATATTCGCTACAATCAATAGTGCTCATCAACTAACAACTTCCTTCTTCTCATATTCATGCTGCAGTATGTGAGACTATCAAGAAGCTTCTTCAAAGAGAGTAGATCGTTCATATTAATCACATTCTTCGAAAAGGGAATGTGTGTGTTGATACATTATTATAGTCAAGATGGGGTCTTCCCAAATTGGATCTCTTTTCAAGTCTTAGAGGCTCCTTCGCCCTACTTGGGTTTGGCTCTGCATGCAAATGCAATAGGGACTAGTTATTTACGTTTGTAATTTTCTTGTTTGTTTTTGCTTTCATTATCTCCAATTACCAAAAAAAAAAAAAAAAAAAGACCTGTGAAATTTGAAATTTTCAGGAGTTTCGGATGGCATAATTTTTTTTTTCGTGGTAGAGTAGAGAGATTTTTTTTTTTTTTTTTTGGTTTGTCCCTGGAGTATCCACCGCCGACAGCAGTGACTAATCTCCTCGCTAGGTTGGAGGCACCTCAAAGGGTGGGATAGTTGGCCCCAAGATTTAACGCGGTTGCATACACAAGGCAGAATTCGAACCCCTGACCTTGCTTAAGCGTGGGTCAACCCCTATCGCTGAACCACACGCTCGGGGTTTGGTAGAGTAGAGAGATGAAAGAGCGTGCAAGAAAAGGAAAAAAAAACAATTGATAGGTAAAACTGTAATTTATACAGTAATCATAGAATCTTGAATATATTATGACAAATGCAAGAAAAAGTGAAGAGTATGTTAGTAATGCATTAATGGAGTAGGAAAAATCTGCAAACTTTATATTTTCTTTTTACTAAACTATGCTTTTGTTCTTTGTAAAATTTGTGATTTTTTCTTTCGGTATAATAAGAAACGTTACTGTAGTATATAAAAATGTTATTATAAATATAATATATATAATTATATATTTATTTGACATGACACTTAATTTTATTGTTAATTTTAAATTAAATTTAATAATATATTTCATGTGTTATTATAATATTTATTTATTTTTTAATAATATACTAACATATATATTGTATTTATTATTGAATAAAAGATTTTTAATGATAAATATTATATTATTATAAGATATATGTGACTATATGACAATTTTATTATAATATAAACTTTAAATTTTTATTATTTTAAAATGAGTTTTCTTTAAAAAACACTTTATTTAGATACATGTTCAATCTAAACGGTGGAGGATAGTAAACATGCATTATGGATTCATTAATTGCTCTCTTAGATTGTACAATGATGATGATGATCTTTGGAAGTGGAGGTAGGCAGTTGTCGCCTACTAATATACTTTGATAATATTTATGTGAAAATTTGATAAAGCAACAAATATTATTTGTATAGGTTTACTTAAAATTACTTTATTAAATAACTTATGTTTTAAATCAAATTTTAATGATCTAATCATTAAATTTAAAATTCTTAACATATAGATCAAGTCTGTAAATTTTTTTAAAAATTTAAAAATTATTTAATACTTTATTTTATTAATTTAAATTGACAGATAATTATAAAATTACTATAAATCTTATAATGTAATCATTATCTATGTACTACATACCTTACAGTAACAATTTTTTCATTCATTTTAAACCCACTTCCAAGTGGCAATATAGTTCAATACATTTTGTAACTTGGTCTGTTTTTTTTATGATTGATCTAGACATCTAGTGGTTTTAATTAAAATTTATTGCGGAAGTAAGTTTATTTTTGTAAAAATTAATAACATTCAGTGAGTTTTTGGGTTAATATTGTTTGTGGGCTGAATGGGCTTTAATGAAGGGTTAATCTAAATGGACTAGGCTAATGGGAATGAGGAGACTCCTAAAAAATCCTCTAAATTCCTTCCCAACCCTAACAAGTCAGATTTCCCATAAACACCCACTTTCACTCTTTCTTTCCTTTTAAGTAAGAACTCAATATTTCAAGGTGTGATAGCTAAAAGCTCTCTCCCAAAGGCTACTTCATTCCCTTCTCAAGACCCTTTAATGATTCCAACGGAGTCATGCTGCTATTATATTCCCTCTTCTCTCCATATCCTTATATTTATGATTCAATGAAGGTTTCTTTAGTACCAAAATTCTGATATGAGATAGTTGTTATGGTTTGGTGTGTTCATTGGGAGTGACATATTCCTTGCCTTATTTAGCTTAGCAATAATTTGTCATGGTAGAATTTAGCCGAGGAAGGATACATCTTGCTGGCCGAATCTTGGAGGAACTTATCTTCTTAAATTGAAGACATTTTTTTTATTAGTTGACCAACGGTGTTAAAGTAAGAATATATAAGAATTCATTGTTGGGTTCCTATTAAAACTTAATAGACTCCCAGTTGAGTCTCTTGTTGTTAATGGCTGGAACCAATGAAAATGAAATCTTTGTGGTTGTTGATGGCATGAGATATCTTGCCTTCTTGAATGATTTTATTTATTGAGATGGATTATTGTCATTCTTAAATAATGTATAATTTTGGTTGCATATGGTAAATAGTGAAAAAATAACTCACAACGTCAATCTATTAAATAAGTTGTATTACAACTGATTTAATTGATGATGTGGTGACATTTTTGAATTTATGAAAAGATTTTTAAAATCAGATGAGTCACAACTATTTTAATATACTATATTTTGCACCAGTTAAAAAGTTAACTAATTTTGAATGTATTATATTAATTTGGTTAAAACATAGTTTTAAATGTGGTCTTTTGGAATTTATGGTAACATTTTAAAAATCAATTGAATCCGTTTTAATATACTATATTCTAAATTGATAAAAGTTTAAACAATTTTGAATGTAATATATTAAATCGATTAAAAGATATTCAATTTTAAATGTTTATGGTTTGAAGTTTAAACACAACAGGGCATCTAATATAACATCCTGATTTTTATAATAAAATAAATAAATAAATATTAGAATAATTAAATTATAATATAGAAAAATGTTTTATTAATAAAATAAGTGAGGTGATAAACTAGAGAGTATTGAGTTGGGCTTTGAGCTTAACCCAAATACTTATTAAAAGAAATAAAATAAAAGATATTAGGTTTAATATGAATCTTCAAAAAACTAAAAGCACTTGTAGAGGAAATCTAGAGGAGATCACTAAGGAAGGTGTGAAATAGAGGTTGAAGCTATGGCAAGCACGTTGAGCTGTAAGATTACCACTCTAGGCCTGGGGGAGCTAGATTGTCAAATCCATTTGCATATATCAAGGATAAGGATAGAGACGATCCCTAAGCCTTTTAGATTGATGAATTTAATTTTTGTAAAGACATATAAATAAATTGACAATTGACTATTATTTTTAGTCTGAATTCATGTTGTATTAACTTATTGGTGTTGAATTGAAGTAGTGATAGGTTAGGGTAATGTGTGCATAAATTAGAACTTTTATTTTGGTTGAATTTTTTTTTGCATGATTTGATGATGATGAATGGATATATGAGTGACAAACAAGTATTTGACTGATTGAATTTTGAATTAAAGTAAAAGGATGTGTATGGATATAACAAGGCCAAAGCAATATCACGTAAGTGCATCAACTGCTCGTCAGGAAAATTATCTCTGACAACTAGGGGATCAATCCTCCTTTCCTCAATCCTACTCAAGTGGTCAACTACCAAGTTCTCAGCACCACTCGTCTCTGATCTCAATGTGAAACTCTTGAAGAAAAAACATTTATCTAATCAACCTTAGTTTAGCATTGGGCTTCTTTAATAAGAATTTCAACGCTGCATGGTTAGAAAACACCATAATCCTAAAACCTAGCAAATAAGAACAAAATTTATCCAATACAAAAAATAGCTAAAAGCTTCTTTTAGTGGTCGTATAATTAGCTTGAGTTGCATCTTATGTCTGAGAGGCATAAACTAGAACATGAGAAAATTTTCTAACTCCCAAAGCTAAAACAACTCCAAAAGTAAAGTTGGATGCATTGCGCATGAGTTCAAAGGGAAGCTCCTAATTTGGTGGGTGAATAATAGGGTAAAGGTGAACCTTTTCTTCACCTTCTCAAAGGCCTCCTAACATGGTTGGTCAAAGACAAGTTCAACATTTTTCTATAAAAACTTGGACAGTGATAGTGCTATCTTGTTGAAGTCTTGGATGAACCTCTTGTAAAAATCTGCATGTCCAAGAAAAGAACAAACTTCCTACATAGATGCGAGATAAGGTAGAGAGACAATGACATCAATCTTAGTTTTATCAACCTCTATATATGCCCCTACTAGAGACTATAGGTGCCCAAAAGCTATACCTTATACTACCATAAAATGACATTTCAAATTTTAGCTCAAGGTTAGTTTCAACGCATGCACTTGTACAACATCCTAGATAAACTCTCTAAGAATTCATCAAATGAAAGACTATATATAGTGAAATCATCCATAAACACTTCCATCAAAGTCTCCAATAAATTTGAGAAAATACTCACCATACACCTCTGAAAGGTGCTTGAAGCGTTGCATAGGCCAAATGACATCTTGGAATAAGCAAATGTGCCAAAAGGACATGTGAATATGGTCTTGGGTTGGTCCTTTGGTGTAATGTTAATTTGCATGTAACTTGAGAATCCATCAAAAAACCAATAGTGGGATTTACCTACAAGCCTCTCCAACACTTAATCTATGAATGAAAGAGGAAAGTGATCCTTGCAAGTTGCCTGATTAAGTCTCCTATAATCTATGCACACTCGCCAACTATTTTACATTCTAGTTGGAACCAACTCATTGTTCTTCACTACAGTGATCCTAATTTTCTTAGCAACCATTTATATAGGACTAACCCACTAGCTATCAAAAATGAGATAAATAATTCCAATTGAAAGTAGTTTCATGATCTCGTTCTTCACCACATCTAGAATGGTAAGATTAAGTCATCTCTATGGCTATTTCATAGGTTAGGACTCGTCTTCTAATAATATTTACTGCATATAAATAATATAACTAATCCCAAAAAGGTCAGCTAGAGTCCAACTAATGGTTTTCCTATGCTCTTTAAAAATCGGTAGCAATATCTCCTCCTAGTCAGATTGAAGGTTGCTAGCTATAATGACTTTGGTTATACTCTAGGTAAGCATACTTCAAATGTGTAGGTAAAAATTTAAACTCCAAAGAAGATGCTTGCATGATGAATGGTAAGGTGGAAGGTACAATGGATGATAAACCTACAATAACAACACTAATTCCTGCACATGTAGCATACGTAATTATATCACCACAAGTGTAATCCAAATCAACATAATTAGAAAAAAGTATAAAAATCAACATATTCATTTATGCCATCATCATCAAGTAAATCAAGAACACCTAACTAGAAAATAGAATGGTTTTTTGTAGGGTGTTTCATGGCCTCACACACGTTGAATAACACAATATTATCACCAAACTCCATGAAAAGAGTGTCTGCATGCACATCAATCTTGGTCCTAGTTGTCCTTAGAAATGGTCTCCCTAAAATCAAAGTAGTATGACTGGATGATTCATCCTCCATGTCTAAAATGTAGAAATTTGTAGGGAAGAATAAATCCTCGACTTTGACTAGTACATCTTCCACCACTTTGAATGGATGAACAATACTCCTATTTTCCAACTAAGTGACCATGCTTGTTGACATCAAATCAACAATTTCCATTGATCTAAAAACTGATGCATGCATGATATTAATAGAAGCACCAAGATCCAAGATAACATCAATGAAAATGCATTCTCCTGTGGTACAAATGACAGTGAAGGTGCCATGATTTTTACACTATGGTAGTAATTATGAAGAAATAAGTGTAAACACGTTATTTTTTTTTCTTTTGAAGTAATGCAGAACCATTTCTTCCCATCTTAATCATCTCATCCCCTTCAATTTTCTCTTGTTTGTGCACAAATCCTTAACACTACTAGAAAAATTAAAACATAGTAGAGAATGGAGCAATGGGAGCACAGATAGTATAATTAACTCTCTGATGCTACATTTAAAATCGGTTGTTCAATAACCGATTTTAAAAGTGATACTTTTAAAATCGGCTA